GCAGAAAATGGTAAAGGTAAAAAACATTACATGCTTATCTGAAAACTGATGTTTTGCTGTAGCTGACACTGACTTAACTAATTTGAAGAAGTGCTCTGACACAGATGTTTGTTTCTCACTAGTAGCTTTTCTGGAACAGCTGCATCCATGATAAATATGCGCTGTAGAAAAACATGCTGGTTCTCCTGCTGTCATAGCTCAAATACTATGCAAGCTCTACATCATACGTGACTGCTGTACATTTTTATCTGCTGTGATGACCAGTTCATAATGTTTCCACAGTGAAAGATGCTCCTGACTCATTTAAAGTTTTTAAACATTTCCCATTTAGCAAGCTTTCTTTTTATTTCTTCCATGGCAGACAGTTACTACGACTGGCTTTGTTGCACACATACTAGACCAGTGGTCATCAGCCCTGATCCTGGAGGTCTACTTTATCTACATATTAACTGCAGAATTTGATTTAAAATGGGATATGATACAGTGGGTAATCCTGCTTTTGTTTCATTTCTAGGTTTTAGCATTAAGGCTGTGCCATTCCAGAACGCCATATTAAACGTCAAGGAACTGGGAGGTAAGCGGATTCCTCTTCGTTGTTGTAGTAGCTTGAACTATGTTTATAGATTCTAATTTCATTTCATTGTTCTGAGTCTCAGAGTTGCGAGTCCAAGACTCGAGTCTCTGGGTTGTGAGTCCGAGTTATGTCTCGAACTTCCTAGGTACAAGTCAGAGTGGAATCTCAAGTCTAGAGTCACTGGGGTGCAAGTCCGAGTCGAGTCTCGAGCCTCTGAGGTGCAAGTTCAAGTCTTGAGTCTTTGGACTGTGAGCCCAAGTTGAATCTCAAGTCTCTGAGGTGCGAGTCTGAGTCTCGAGTCTCTGAGGTGCGAGTCTGAGTCTCTTGAGGTGTCAGGCTGAGTCTCAAGTCTGGGGTGTGAGTCCCAGTCTCGAGTCTTTGGGCTCTAAGGTGCAAGTCCAAGTTTCAAGTTTCTGAGGTGCAAGTCCGAGTCTCAAGTCTCTGGGCTGCAAGTCAGAGTTGAGTTTGGGGTCTCTGAGGTGCGAGTTGAGTCTTGAGTCTCTAGGCTGTGTGTCCAAGTAGAGTGTCCAGTCCCTGAGGTACAAGTCAGAGTTGAGTCTCGAGTCTCAAGTCTCTGGGATACAAGTCGAGCCTCAAGACTCTGGGATGCAAATCTGAGTCTTAAGTCTCTGGCTCGAGTCTCTGGCATGCAAGTCTGAGTTTCTGGGCTACAAGGGCGAGTTGAATCTCTAGTCTCTAGTGGAGAGTTTTAATTGAATCTCATAATTAGCTGCAGACAATACATTGTACATTAGTAAGAACCTACTAAAATCTTGTCAGTTTTGACATGGCTTCAAATAACACAACCTTATTTACCAATTGTTTTTTTAGTTTTCAGACCTTACTGGCAGTAAATGCACTTTTTGAAAGAAAAGAGGCAAAACAACTTTCAATCCTTTGTTAGTCTGTAATTTGTATAGCAAGTATGCAAGCAAGTATGCTTGAGAATGCGATCTCTAGGTTCCTAAATCTTCAGCTGATTTATTATTTCACTAGCTGGCATGCTTGTCGTCCAACTACACTTAAACTAGTCATTTAAAGTTGTTTTGCCTTTTAAAACTTAATTAACTGAGTAGCACTTCAGTTCTGTCCACCTGCCTGAAAGTTTTTAGGTAATCAAAGGCTCATTATCTGAAGCTGTGTCATACCTGGTGCTACTGTTGGACAGCAGCATTGCAGTCATGATTGCGCAAGAACGTGCAAAACTAACAGGCAAAGTCACGTGTAAGATTGGGAACTACAAGTTTAATTTACCGCATTCAGGTTGTCTGTCTTCATTCATTTTGTAGAGTTTGTTTTTCCTCAGGCTGAAATTTCACATCTTAAATCTCGAGTCCAAGTCGAGTTGCGAGTCAGTTAGGGGCGACTTGCCATCTCTGTCGAGAGATCTATGTGTATGCGTTTCGCCTGAGTTATAGGGCCCCACTTTCATGTCGAGGTTCAACTAGAGGAAAACGATTATTTTAAAGCAAAACACACACTTCCCCATTTGATGTGAAAAGTACCTGTGACCTTGTAATCATCCGTCCCCACAAAATCACCCTCCGAATTTCTCCTGGTTGAAATGTCAGAGTGCACATCATTATGCTGTTTTTTAACTTTTCATCCACTCCTGAAAGCATTTCCTCAGATGAGTTCATCGCTGTGTCAGAGGCCTGTGGTGCAACCCCCCTTTCTGAAAAACGGGCGGGTTAGGGTTACGACAGGAGCGTTAACCCTGAAACCGCCTTCAAGGGCTCGTCTCATGCTTTATTGATGAAGACTGCACGCTGTCCTGACGCTTTCACTCACCTGTGCTTTCTTCGTCTTCCCTCAGCCGCTGGCTTAAGCTTGGCTCGCGTTACATGAGTTCTACCTCAGTTATAGCCATGATTCCCCAATCGGGCAGAGTTTGCTCTGATCGGCCCTAGAAATTCTTTTCGTCTGGAATCTGAATGCAGTCTGTAAGTGTATATTGTGGTCAAGGACTCAAGTTTGAGTGGGAACAAAACTACTTTGATGGTTCTTTTATTAGCAGCATCTCCTTGTAATGGTAAAATGTGTCTGGGTTTGGGTTCAACAGGAAGTTGGATAGTGTGTGATCTTGAATTGTCTGTTCACCAGACAGTCCACAGCACTGATGCAGGTGCACTGGGAAAATTTGGACTGGATGGATACTGAGAAGTCAGTTGAGTTGGGGTTCTCCACCTTTTCCTATTTAAGGCACATAACTGCAAATTATGAACGGACCCACTCAGTTTGTTTTTCTGAGAAATTTTCAACATAGTGATCACACAGTATGTGATATGCATCATTGAATGTGAAAAATCAACTGAATAGGTTAACATTTACATTGTTTCATACCAGAAATCAGGAGGAATGGGGGCACTCGCAAGTGGACGAGTGAAACATCAGCTGGAGTGTTTTTTTGTTTCTAGAGACAAAAGGGCAAACAATTATTAAGCTAGTTATTTTTTCATTGATTTTGAGTTCCATCAACAGCCAACAGCCCACTGCTCACAACTGACTTTTCTGAATAATATTGCAACTGCAATTTAAATAGCGTTTTTTTTTTTTTTTAAATTGAGATTCAAGCCTTATTTTGGCCAAGAAGAGCAGAATATCCACCTTGTTTGGCTTGAGGCTCGACCCCTGAATGTCAGGTGACAAACTGACAGTAAGTTGTGGCTGTGATGTCACAACAGACAGAGGTTTGATTGCATCTGATTGGTCTAACTCATCTACAGGCATTTCACAAGCTTTTATCAGGTTCAATTTCCCCTCTTAAAATATAAAACAACATTTTTGCTAATGTACACACTTAAAAAAGATGGTTCTTCAAGGGTTCTTTGGTAAAGACAATGGTTCTATATACCATTTGCATGCATTCTTTGTATGGTGAAATGGTTCTTTAGATCGATGGAGAATGTGTTCTATATGGTATATAGCACTTTTTTGAACATCAAAACAATAGCAGAACCCTTTTTGGTGCTGTATAGAACCATATACAACACATTCTCCATCAATCTGAAGAACCATTTCACCATGCAAAGAACTTTTTAAGCCTGCACATGGGTCTTTGAGTGTTCATGGTTCTATATAGAACCACTGTCTTTACTAAAGAACCAACTTTTTTAAGAACCTTGAAGAACTAATCTTTTTTAAGAGTGTAAGCTAAAAAAATTGCAGCTCTTGAGATAAGAAAATTGTCTTAAATTGCGATTTCAATATGAAAACGATTAATCTTTCAGCACTAAATATAGGCCTGAAGTTTTTCAACAATAATTGAGGAATGAAGTTTTCACCGTTGTTGAATTTTTAATGATGCATGTACTTGTTCATTGCTCTTTAAATACTAATGACTCTGAAAACATATTATGACGTACATATTCTGAAAACATATGAAATCTGCACTTGAAGTGTTTCCAGTCTTTTCATTATCTATTAGGATTTTTGTTGTCCTTGTCACCAGTTGCTGAGCCGGTTCTGCCTGGCCTATGTTTTGAGGTCTGAGCAATGTTGGGAAGCGGTGGGGTTGGGTTGCGGTGTGGGGGTGAGAGAGGGTTTTTTTTGTATCAAAGCAGCTCTTCGTCTGCGTGCATTTCCCATCAGTGTCATGACGACACCCTGTGTGATCCATGGGGGTTGACAGGCCTGATGTGCCGAGGAAGACACTCCACATGTTGGCGTTTACCGTCTCGAAAACAGCCATCTGAAAACGCTTAGCTCACACATACACTCTCTCTCTCTTCCTCTGTACCCCGATTATGATTTAATGATTTTTGTGGCAATATGTTTTTCTAGTATTATCACTCATGATTATATTGTGCTAGCCAATTGGTGATCGATGGCGTTTTTTGCGTGTTTGTATTGCATCCTGGCTTAGAACATCTGTTTGTGTCTTTGTAATGAAAGTAAACCACCAACTCTTAATGACTGTTTATCTCCTTAGGACCTCCCGGCTGCGTTTAAGTTTTGGTTGTCACCAGTAGATGGCAGCGTTGAGCAAGTCCACAATGAGGTGAAGCATTTTGAGGCGATGCGTTAGTGCCGGACTGATTGAACATGTGTTTTGGAAAAGTCTGCTTATCTAATAATTGGTTCTACAATGGGTGGAATAAAGTGACAGTCTTTGGTTTTGACAGTGTAATGATAGGGGGTTTCATGTTGAATAACGTTTGAGGGAATGCATCGTCAAGTCTGTCAGCGCTTTTCAGACAGACACCCTAATAGGAAGAGTGTTCCCATGCTGCTGGAACGGAAATGCAGGATTGGTTTTTAGTTCAAGTTGAATCCGAAACTTCTTAACTGACATACAGTCCTCAAGAGAGATTGCCACAGTGTATCGTTTGACAGTTGTGGTGGAAACAGGCAATGAAGAAATACATGAACAGTCACAGATTTTGGCAGAACACTTATTTTATGTGATGCTTCTAAGTGGTCCCAGGAAGTTTTTATTTTTCCTTAAAGTTTCTGTTCCTTTCTCTAATTCACTGCTCTTCCACGCGCTGTTGGCGGAAGGTAGAATTTAGTGTTTGAGGCCTAGAGTGGGTGAAACCTGGCTTGAATATGTCCTGACCACCACAGGACATTTTTACTGCTGGTAATCTGGCATGAGGCATGACGAAGAGCTCAATTTGTGGTGTGACAGAGGCTCAAGTGGACAAACTGCTGTCCGGCATCTTTAACAGCCAGCAGACAATATCAAACCTCTCAAAAAGCTCTGCAGCTGCAAAGTCTCAAACAAACAGCATATGAGGTTTCAGTCTCACTGAACTTGAGATGGGAAAGAGGTGGAGGGGAGGCTATAGAGCTAAAATAAGGAATCCAGAGCAGATTTTAATTTTAGAAAAGGCTGCAGGAATTGAGGAAATTGAAGATTTTTTTTTCATGCAACCAGCAGTCAGTAACACTTGCACTGTCTGTAAAACATAAGAGAAATCTATTATTTTGTCTCATGACAGGTTAGAGTAGTCTTTAAGGATAATTTTGAATTTATCACTGTTCTGTACTTTGCACAAATTTCTGCGTAGTTCAGTTATTAAATGTAACAAAGTCATTGAGAGTGATGTGAAATGAGAAACTTTTTGGTTTCTTTACAGTGGTGGTGATAGGAACCTAAGGAGGTTCCTAAGAAGAACAAATATAGTCATTTTATTTACTACCCAAAACAACAAATGAACCTATTCGCATCCTGTGGTTCATAGGTTCATATAGTGGTAAATTCAGACAAACTTGCCATACAACGCAGTGCATGTTCATTTCTACTACAAATGGATGAAATAATTGATTTAGGCCAAAGTCTTTGTCTCAAAACTATCAATAACATTGTCTCAGTAATCTGGCAGCATATTACTAATTATTACATTTCATGTAATGACTTTCTGTGGGGTAGCTTGAGGCTTTAAAAGTTTTCAGACGTCTGGTTTCTATCACCACCACTGAACCTATGAGCAATTCTGGCTCAAAATGTTTCTCTAGAACAGAGCATTTCACAACCTCTCTGAATGAATTCACATCTTAATAATTTAATTATGTGGAAATTTTGTTTAAAAATAGGTGGAATTCCCTTTTAACTGTTACCCCTTCCTACCACACGTGACACAGCCCATAAGCTAATTAACAAACTCTATCAGGTTCACTTGATCAGTGGAAACAAAACAAAACAAAATTGCTTTTAGAGTCTGTGATTGTGGCTTTAAGATTACTAATAACAAATGAAAGATGGTAAAAACCAGTCCGAATGATGTAAATGACATCCTGTTAACTGGTCTTCGTGAGCATTCTTTCGTTGTTAGCCACATTAGCAATTTTTGGCAAAATTCCTTTAAAAAATCTAGTAAACTCATAAATCAGTACAACATTAAGATTAAGAGTGCTGGTCTGGAGGCATTTTTGTGGGGCCAGCTGTCACTTTATGTGAAGAAGATGAGACACATGAAGCAGGCTTGTAATTAATGCAGTGCGTTCTCTGTTCTGAGCATTCAGAGGGATGGGAGGTAGAGGCGCTTTGGGCCCCGTTTCTTCACGGTTTAGGGTACGGGCTCCCCCTCAGTGACTCACTCTAACCAAAGCCATGCTGCGTCTGTGCAACTTGGTGGCCACATTTTTGTACCCCCCAAAATTGCTCTGCACAAGAGAAACCATATGTTGACTGTAAAAGCGGACCCATTTGAACTGTGCTGTAGACTGGCCATCACAAGAAACCATTTTAATACGCTCTCAGGGTCGACTTTAAAGAAAACAGTGTAGCGGTGAGTGTCTTTTCCTTTTAGACCCAGCCCTCCCACCCATGCAGGCCCCCTGAACGGAGTCAGAAGTTGGCATGCAGGCTTGAAGTCATAAAAATACATAGTGCAAGATCTACAGTGATTTTGTGAAAGGGCAGGCTGGGGGTCTTCTCCCAATACATTCCAGCCATGCTAAAACTGGAGCTATGTTGAAATCTGCCCCCACCCAACCACCATCTCTGCTGCCAAAATGTTGTTTCTTGAACTTATTAATGTCGAAGCTTTTAGTTTTTCTCTGTTTGGGGCGCAATTAGATTTACGCTCGCTAAATCCAGTGTGAATTGTCCTCAGGTCTCTGTGAAGTAACCCTTCACAGAGACCTGAGGACAATTCACACTGGATTTAGCGAGCGTAAATCTAATTGCATTAGATAATGTGCATACTAAATGTTATGAATTCCTTGCTGAGATTGTGACGGTGTGAACTGACGTGTTTTTCTGCCTTGCAGGAGCGGACTCCATTAAAAAATACTGGAGCCGGTACTACCAAGGCTCTCAGGGAGTGGTGTTTGTTTTGGACAGCGCCTCGTCGGACGAAGACCTGGAGATAGCCCGGACGGAACTCCACTCGGCCCTGCAGCACCCTCAGCTCTGCACGCTGCCCTTCCTCATACTGGCCAACCATCAGGACAAACCCGCTGCTCGCTCTGTACAGGAGGTAACCTGCTGCTTGCTGAGAGATTCTCTTCATTGGGTGGACGGTGCTGGAATAAGTGGATGTGACGTCATAAATACACAGTTTTTTAACTTGAGTTAGGACCGGTTGAAAGTGAAACATGTGGAAATATTCTGCTTTACCAGCAGCACCATGTTTGATTCAAAACTGGTGTTAGCAGAAACAAAGAGAGAAAGGAGCAAACTAATTTGTTCATAAGGCAGTATTAACCTTTTAAGGCAGGCTCAAAAATGTGACTCTTTCTGCTGTTAAATCTATTCTTCTCTGTCTATCGTGATTTTTATTTTTTTTTCAGTGCATTTGTTGCAGTTATTTGATATGCAAAGATGATCTAACAAAGCAGAAAACTTATTAATTCTGAAGATTTTTATTTAGTTTGTCTCACAAACATCCTTTTTGATAAAGCACATGAATAGGAATATAAGTCACACATCAGTGGTGTTTTTATCATTACTGTGACTAAACAAATCAGTAGTAAGTTTTTAGCAAAGCAAATTGCATTCTGAATGAGCTCTTCCTGTTGCTCAGATGAAGTAATATTACTGTAGTATCAATTGGCAGTATAGAATATATTGTCTAAATTATATAGCAATTATCAACGGCAGCACAGCGATTGGGTCACATTGTTACCGGCTGATACTCAAGTACTCTGATCACAGTTAAACTGTTCTGCAGTCCAATGAAGGGGGCTTTATACCTCTCTAGCCGACACCTGTCATTAGTCATGGTGACCTTAGGCTCATAGCATCCCATTCTATTGGCAGTGCTTTTCCACAGAGATCATACAAGCTGCGTGATTGCAGTGGCACACGTGTGTCAGCAATGGGTGCGTCTTAAAATAGCTTAGTAGAGTCCACTAGTGCATCTAGATCATTTTTGACATATATTGCACATATACAGTAGTACACATGCACACAAGCATCCATGAACATGTGCACATACACAAACATATTATAAATGTGTACATATACATGCATGTGGAGAGTTTTGCATCAGAGGTCTGCATGTGCATGAAGAACTGAGAGAGACAGAGAGAAAATGTGTGAGACTGTGCAAAATTGACAAGGACTCAATCTTTCAAATAAAATGTAACCTACAATCAAACAAACAGTCATGACATAACAAACCTGATGTTGTACATAAAAAATGGCCTGGACCAGGACCTGATATTTTGCAGAAGCGTGTCAGGCCGGGTAGCAGACCTCTAAAGCGCCCATACCCTAAATGTTTTGGAGACACTTTATTTTGAGTGGTCCTTTTAGACGAAACAAACACTCAACAGACTCTCAGTGACAGGTCAAAAACATATGATGGTTAGGATTAGGTTTTGGGTTGAGGTTAAGATTAGAGTTACGATTAGGACCTGGGTTAGGGTTAGGTTTTGGGTAAGGTTGGGTAAAGTTAGGTTTTGCATAATGGAACTAACACTTTAACAATACATCTACTTAAAGACTACTTCAAGATATTTACTTCAGTGTATTCAGATGCTTCACTACTACGTTGTTGATGTGTTACTGATGCTGTTGATAGTTTAATTAATCATCTACAACAGACCTGTTTTTTTCTCTGAGGTATACTTATGACATTATTGTGAACATTAAATGGATGGAGCTGAACTGCTGTAGGCTGAGTTAACGGATATATGTAAATGTGTTGGTTTTTGTGGCATCACAAAAAAAAAAAAACTAAAAACAGGCTCAAGTTTTTTGCAGCTTAATTTCCATATACGTGTGGACCGGGAAGTGACAGTCCTATTTAGAGACGGTGTTTACATGCTACATCAAACTCTTTCATTAAGAGATGGGTTCCATGATATGGGTGCTTTAAAGTAAAGAAGTCAACAGAACACTTCTAGAATAGCTTGCACATTGACTGCATGCCCTTGCTGGTCTCAGCTGGTCAGCCTCACGCTGTATGAATACTCATGATAATGACCATAGTTTTAATAAAAAAAATAATAAGAGCTTATATATAATTAACTTCGGTTTCTGCTCAGCACTCAGAATGCTTCACAGCAGGTTGACCAAAGCGCTCATGCTGGACGAGATGCTTTAAAGTAGCCAATTCTCCTTGTTTAACCTGCCCATTTAAAGCCTGTAAACAGTAATTGCATTAGCCACTGCTCAACCGTCCCCTCTGCTAGAGATGGTGGTGGCGGTTTGCCTCTGTCTCCGAGGAGTTAACTTGTTGTTTGCAAACACTGACAGACCTCAGACCTCAGGGGGATTCTCCCCCCGTTCACACATCTCCAGCAATGAACTACTCTGCTTTTTCAGACTTTCACATAACGAGAAAGACAATGAGCCATTGTGCTTGGGAACCCAGAAATGTTACAGTTTGGGGGCGAGTGTTGCTGCTCTTTTCTTGTTTCATGAGTGTATTTTCTTTTTTTTCCACGGCTGTGTTCGAGATACAGCTGTCTTGATGTGTCTCAGGTTTGAATGTTTCTCTGAAATGTTGGTAATGACACGAGAAATTGAGATTTACTTGGTTAGAGTAAGCTTTTGGAATGCATGGTATGTCTCTCCTGTTACAATTTCTTTTTAATGGTCCCCTTTTTGTTTTTATGTTTTGAGGCTTGGATTACTCAGGCCTCGTATGTGTGCGTGTACAATTGTGTGTAGCTTGGCTCATAGATGAGTTGAGCTGTAGAAAGCTGAAGTGTGTTGAACGCACACTCACAAGCGCATACTCACATCTGTTTTCTGTGGCGAAATCGGCCCGCAGGCTGCAGGGTATAAGCCAATGCACTGAACGCTAATTAACTGGCCGTGAATTGGTCCTGAGTGAGCAGTAAATATCAGACTTTGGAGAATAACACATCCCAGTTCACTGATGTATGTCAAACTGGAGCTTTTCAGTTGGCTGCCCCCTTTCTCCAGCCCAACTGTAGATAGTAATGCCCTTTGTTTTATTTATTATATTAGTAAGTGAGAACTGGAACGCGATGTTACCAGCTTGATTTTCACCAGGCAGCATTGCAAAGATGACATACTGAATTGTAGTATGTTGACATACAGTACTGTGCAGAAACTAGAGACCATTGATTTATTTAATTTCCAGTCAGAACAGCCATTAAGTACAAGTTCTTCATTTTTCAGCATCAGGGAAAAATGTAAAAGCGTATTAATTACCAAAAAAAAAGTTTCAATATCTAAATATATCATTTTTCAGTGTTTAGCTTATCCACCCTTTGTCTTCATTGCAGCTTTCATTCATTTCAGGAAACTTGCTTTTAGGTTTTCAAAGAAATTTGGAGAGATACCTCCAAAATTCGGTCTTAGATAGTCTTAGGTTGCATTTTTCTGCTTCTCGTTATCCAAGTTATCTAATAATAATTAACTCTTTATATTCTTATTAAAAATTGGGATTATAGATTTTACTGTGCATTCTGCAAACACACAAACCTATATTTCCATGCAGTCTTAATCTTACGGGCATTTACTGATTTAATGAGGTTCTTCAATGGAAATCGTATGTCAATTAATATAATATTGAGTAACTCAGCATCTTTTGGTAATAGACTATTAATGGTAATGGTCAGGCAATTGTTCTGAGAACATCAGTAGCTTTTTGTTTGATTTCCAAATAATTTTGGCTCTCTCCTTTTCTCAGTAAGAGCTTCTTGACAGCTACACATCCTTTCAGACCCACTGAGTTGTTAAGTTGTCTTGCCACAGTGGAAGGATGGACAAACACCTGTGGATTATTTTCAGAACTGAGGCAGCTTGCTTTTCTCCTCTTTCTGAAAGATGAAAGCTTTAAGTGCTGTTTATCTGATGGTGACTTGTTTGGTGGTCTACCAGGTCTTGCACGGTCATTAGGAGTCCCATTTTCTTTGTTCCTTTATTTTCCTTTGACTTTCTCCTTCCTTATGCAACTGTAATATCTTACATCTAATCGTCTCAAATATAACACCAGAAATAACTTGCACTTAATGACCATTTTGATAAATGAAGGGTGGTTCCTGATGTTTGAAAGTATTGTATGCTCACGTTTTAGTGGTCTTGAGTTACAAAAAGCATTACAGTTGAAGTAAACTGATCTGATTTTGCAAGTCTGTTGCTGTCTAGATAAATATCCTCTACTTTGGAATTGGCTTCCTACTGCTGAAATATTTCTGGCATGGCGAAGGTACATTTTTAATCGTATTGGCTAATGCTTGAACTAGGAGGTTTCTAATAGAATAGCTGTCTGAACTCAAACTGAGGTTCTAATTTTAGTTGATACAATGCAGAGCCATTAGTTTGTCTTAAGCACTCCCCTTTGACACACCATTAATTTAGTCTGTTCGTATTAGTGTTTGGAAAGCTTAGTCTCTGCGGATTGATTGACAGCTCTGTAAGCCATCGGTTAGGAGCCATTAATGTGTTCTCGCTGGGTGTTGCCTGCTTGGAACGAGCACTAGAAAATGATCAGCTTTGCTGAACATGTTCCCGAAACATAATCTTCCCTTTGTTCCGTTTTCTCTGTGTGCCGCTGTTCCGTGGAGACCCCCCTTCCCCCCCTCAACTCTCTCAAATATTTCATGTTTGCGAGTCACGCTCTGCTCGGATGGAGTGCGCCGACACATTTGCGTAGCCACATCAGAAACATGTCCGGTTGCGGTCAGTGAGCCAGAGCTTTTTCGATTCGGAGAGGTGGTAGATTGTGATAGATCGCGTGTCTGGCCCAGGGCGGCCATCTGATACCGTGACCGATTCCAATATGAGTTCGGCCTGTTTTAGGGTGTTCCGAGCGCAGCACTGAGGCTGACCTGCAGAACAGCAGTTTCTGTTTTAGAAGCTTTTCTTCAATTCCCTGATTAGGATTGTGACAATAAGGGTCACATAAGGACAAAAGAGGGAGAGTGGTCACTGCATGTCATCCTCTTCATCTTTGCTTCTCTGATAACTGTAAATTTTCCACTTCAAGTTCTTTCCCTCTTGTTCACACCTATTATCAATTTAGTATTACAGTATATTTGAGAATCGCTGTAGTTT